GAGAAACTAATACCCCTTTAGTGTTGTTGGTGGTTTGGGAGAGGGGTCAGAACACAGGTAAGAGAAACTAATACCCCTTTAGTGTTGTTGGTGGTTTGGGAGAGGGGTCAGAACACAGGTAAGAGAAACTAATACCCCTTTAGTGTTGTTGGTGGTTTGGGAGAGGGGTCAGAACTCTAAAAATTCCAACAATTAATATCAAATCTAAAATAAATGTGTAATTGCAAAGGTATTTATATATTGTAAGCATGTATACAAATTGAAGTATTATGAAATTAGCCTTCATCATGAGATAATGTGTGTTTCAGATTGCTGGTGTGTTTTCCTGCATTCTCTTGTTGTTCGTGCTGCTACTCCTGGGGCCCTACTTCAGCACCCTACCTAAGGTGAGATCACTCTGACCAATCTTTTCATGTAGTTTGTGGAACCTGAAATAATGTCCAACAAGAAAATAAATCAAAATTCTTTTATCTGTTTACTTGGAATTGCCATGTGCTTCTATTGTTTCATCTTGTAAAAATTCCATGAAGAAAATGTTCTTTTTTGCTAAGCTAAAATTTCTGAATTGGTTATGACAGCCAAGAACTGTTTGTTACTACTCAAATATTCTACTGTAATCAATACATATTTTACAGCCAACATTTATCTTCATTTTAGATTGATTTGTAATTAAACAGAAATTGGTATTTATAACTAACCTTTAATTGATCTTTACAAGTAGTTTTCAGTCACCAATAATTTGTATTCACTTATAGTTAGACTAAAGCTTTAATTCATGAGTATTATATATTATGTAAGTCTGTTTGTTAGTAAGCTGCATGTTTTTTGCCTGTTATTTATTATCTCAAGTAGTTTACATTTACCTGTATATCACCTTTAATTTACATTTACCTGTAAATCACCTGTAATTGACATTTACCTGTAAATCACCTGTAATTTACATTTACCTGTATATCACCTTTAATTTACATTTACCTGTAAATCACCTATAATTTACATTTACCTATAAATCACCTGTAATTTACATTTACCTGTAAATCATCTGTAATTGACATTTACCTGTAAATCACCTGTAGTTTATATTAACCTTTAATCAATGATAATGTATGGTCTATTTTTCCTCTGATTTATAGGCTGTTCTGGCAGCTATCATCATTGTAGCATTGAAGGGAATGTTTAAACAGCTACTAGAACTCCCGAATCTATGGAGGCTGTCGAAAATAGATTTTGTAAGTATCTCCATCTTAAAGAAACACTTCTAATATATATATGTACTTTATGACAAAACTAGTTTTAGCTCACCTGCCTTCAAGGCCAAAAAATCGTCTTAGGTCTGTCCGTCTGTCTGTCTGTCATCTGTCCTTCTGGCGTCAACTTTTTACTTTTACACAATCATGTCTAGAAACAGTGTACACATGCAAAGGGGATTTAAAAAGTTTCTAATGTCAAGGTCAAGATCACTTTTACTAAAAATAGCTAGCCATGAGGTGGGTTGATCTTTTACTAAAACTAGCCGGGGTTGGTATTTGTTATGATCCTTATTTCGGAATCCAAAGACTAATTCTTTTTTAAAGACATATTATTGATATGCTGTGATATATATAGATAAGCAATAAGGGTTTAAAAAGTATCTAAAGGTCAAGGTTACAGTTATTAAAAATAGACCATTGGGGCTACAATCAGGCAGCCTTTCTGACCTGTCAGAGTTCAGTTGCTTATATATGTGATTACATGATGCCAGTTTACTGCCATAGGCCCAAATAGTGAAGAGTGAAGCTGTTTCAGTTGACCGAGGGTCAACCAAGGGAGGAATGATACAGTGACAGGCAACCAATACACATAATAAAGGTGGTGGTGGTGGGGGAGGAGGATGGTATGACTGTATAGCTTGACCATCAGAAAACTACTGGGCAGTTGGCTAGAACTGTTAGAACAAAGAGCACTTGTCATGTGACCACGCTAGGTCCTAGGATTGGATCTCATACTCTTTCCCTTATCAGTAAGGAACCAATACCCAATATAGCACATGTAAATTAGGCAAAGATGGGAGACCCTCTGTTAACTGTGTTGCTGTCAGGACAGTGAGGTTATGGAAGGTCAGAATGTCTGGCTGGCTGAGCTGAGAGATATGAATGAATTAGGCACAGAGCTCGAGGGGAGACCCATTTTTTACTGTTGCTGTCAGGACAGTGGTGTTATGGGAGGTCAGAAAGCCCAGCTGGCTGTGCTGCGAGATTAATAGAATCTTTCATCCCCTTGGGGGTGAGATAGGGGGATCTCAACCCGAGGGGGAAGATTCTTATGTTAATAAGACATATAGATATATAATGACCATAGAACTTAAGAATCTTTCCCCGAGGGTTGAGATTCCTCTATCTTACCCACAAGGGGGTGAATGATTCTTTTTCTCTTACCCTGTTCTCCCAATGTGTATCATAGACACAATGTGATGATAACGTTACATGCTCAATTCAGTGTTGACGTGACGTTGATGGATTGTTGACGTGACGTCATTGTATTGTTGAAGTGACGTCATACCATTGTTATGAATAGGGGAATACCCCCGTCTCAACCCTAGGGTGAGACAAGGAAATCTCCCACCGGTAAACGTGCGGATACACCTGTCCAGGGTAAGAGAAAAGAATAATCTTGACCCCTGCATTATTGATTGGTTGGATGCATGTCCTTTCTATGACCAGTGATTATGACCTGCAGATAGGGGAGAGGTCTAGTGATAAGACCGTCTAGAACTGAGATGGCCCTGTGAATTAATGTTGATAGGGAACTGATGGACCCTATATACATTCTATACTACATCTGCTCAAATGTTTACTTATATCGAGATGAAAGACAGACCCCTTCTATGCTGTGCAAACCTGCATAATAGTTCATATTAGACTTTAATAATTGTGTCCTGATGTAGATAATCTGGATCGTAACCTTCCTGGCCACGGCAGTGCTGGACGTTGACCTTGGCTTGATGACCGGTGTTGGAGTGGCTATACTAACCATTGTATACAGAGTTCAGAGGTAACATTTTAAGTCCTGTTTGGTCAAATTCTGGATGAAACAATTATGTCATCACACTCAACAAATATTGTATTTCTTTTTTATGCAATTGAACAATTTGTATGAGGTTTGTTTGTGAAACCTGAGGGTAATAGAAATAAGTTAGCTGACAACAATGATGACAACAAGGCTCCTTGCTAATCTGTTCAGATTTGTTCACAGCCATTCAACTCATTAATTTACAGAATTTCTAATACAATAATTAACCAATAAAAACCTGCCATTGTGTCGTCTGCTTTCAGCAGATTATTCTGACCATCTGTTTTAAACTGACATATTGGTATCATATGTACTTGTCAGGCGTCACACTACATTGGCATCCACATAAAGTTGTACAGATGATTTGTTTGGTGAAAATATATGACACTGATAATGCTTGGTAGGGTTACATTATGTTTAAATACAAGTTTGAAAATCACCAAGATATGTGCATATTTTTGGCCATCCAGCATCAAATTTCTTGTCTTCTGTTATCTGTCTGCTAGTTATTCAGTCAGCCAGTAAGTCCATCTGTAGACAATTTTTGTTTGAGTCTTTATCTCGAAAAGTGCTTAAGGGATCATGACAAAACTTGGTATGCATGATTTCCATGGACCATAGTCCTGGCTGCTACAGTTTGAAACACTAACATAGAGCAAGCCAGTCTTAGCTCACATTACAACTTTGTTTACCCGATACCCTTGGATGTGCCTGTTCAAGAAGAGAACAAAGAAAAGAACCAACATTCCATGATCTTTCAACGATGGATGCCAGGATCCCTCTGGAATTTTCTTGTATCAAGATGCTGTGACCTGATTGGCTATTTTTTTAAAGTCTGAAAATATTATGTTTTATTCTAATAGTGAGTTATCTAATTATTTTTACAGACCTTACTCATGTTTGCTTGGCCAGATGCCAGAGACAGATATCTACCGGGATGTGTCTGTGTATAAAGAGGTAAGTGTCCACTACCTCTTAAATTCATCAAATCAAGAATTTTGAAGGACATTTCTGTACATTGAGAAAGGAAAACTTCTATCTGTCATTATGTTAATTATCCTCTAGAAACCTCTTAAATGTGATAATCTTATTAAACATTTCAATATTTCTTAACCTACAAAAACTTTACACAGGCTTTGAGGTTTTTAATCTGGAAGAAGAATGATAACTTAAGTGAAAATAAGGCACAAGTTTCTTACAATTTTATTTTTGTTTTATGGTTTTTAGGTCACCTGAGCTTTAGCTCAAGTGACCTATTGCTATCCGTTTTCGTCCGTCGTCGTCCGTCGTCCGTCGTCCGTCGTCCGTTAACATTTTACATTTCAAACTTAAAGTCAAGTTCTGCTGGGCCGATTGAACTGAAAGTTGGTAGGAATGATCGCCTCATGGTCCTGACAAAGTGTTGTTATTTTTCGGGTCGATCAGAAATCCAATATGGCCGCCACGGCCGCCATTTTGAAAACCTATTTCAAACTTAAAGTCAAGTTCTGCTGGACCGATTGAACTGAAAGTTGGTAGGAATGATCGCCTCATGGTCCTGACAAAGTGTTGTTATTTTTCGGGTCGATCAGAAATCCAATATGGCCGCCACGGCCGCCATTTTGAAAACCTATTTCAAACTTAAAGTCAAGTTCTGCTGGACCGATTGAACTGAAAGTTGGTAGGAATGATCGCCTCATGGTCCTGACAAAGTGTTGTTATTTTTTGGGTCGATCAGAAATCCAATATGGCCACCACGGCCGCCATTTTGAAAACCTATTTCAAACTTAAAGTCAAGTTCTGCTGGACCGATTGAACTTAAAGTTTGTAGGAATGATCGACTCATGGTCCTGACAAAGTGTTGTTATTTTTCAGGTCAATCATAAATCCAATATGGCCGCCACGGCCACCATTTTGAAAACATATTTCAAACTTAAAGTCAAGTTCTGCTAGGCCGATTGAACTGAAACTTTGTAGGAATGATTGACTCATGGTCCTGACAAAGTGTTGTTATTTTTCAGGTCGATCAGAAATCCAATATGGCCACCACAGCTGCCATTTTGGTAAACTATTTCAAACTTAAAGTAAAGATCTACTTGGCCGATTGAACTGAAACTTTGTAGGAATGATCGAATCATGGTCCTGACAAAGTGTTGTTATTTTTCGGGTCAATCAGAAATACAATTTGGCTGCCATGGCCGCTATTTTGCTACTAAGTTCTAATAGGCCGATCTCACTTAAAATTGGTCTAGGAATGATCAGCTCATGGTCCTGACAAAGTTAAGTTAACATTATACTATTTTTTACTCAAATTGGTACATATTTCAACAACAAAAATAAATATTGTAGGACTCAGGTGACCGTTAAGGCCCATGGGCCTCTTGTTTTTATTCAAAATAACATTTCAGTCAACATTGAGATATAAGAATATTCTTTTGTCCCAAAAATCAAGCAATTTAAAATTTGGAAAAACTTGATATTCTCTTCCACAGGCTGTAAAGATACCTGATGTAAAAATATTCCGTTTTGAGAATGCACTGTTCTTTGTGAGTGTCGACCACTTCCGCAGCAGTTTATACAAATGTACAACAAACCCTAAACAACTACACAAAGACATTAAAGCTGCCCAACTTAAACTACTTAAGACACGAAATGTGGAGTTTAATGCCACGGAGGTGAGTCTCTTTTCATTTCAAGGTCATGGAGGTGAGTCCCTTATCTGAAGGTCATTTAGTTGAATTACTTTTTATCTCAGGTTTACTGAAGTGAGTCACCTATTATCTCAAGGTTACTGATTTGTCAGTCTCTTTTTATTTCAAGGTCATGGAGGTGAGTCCCAGTGAGTTATCTGAAGGTCATTTAGGTGAATTACATATTATCTCATTGTCATTTAAGTGAGTCCTCTATTACTTCAAAGTCAATGAGGTGAGTCTAAAAATGTCAAGGTCATTTAGGTGGGTCTAAATATTTCAAGATCACTCTAGGTGAGCTGCTTATAATCTTTCAGTTCACTGATATGAGTGACTTATTATCTCAAGGCCACTAAGAGGAGCTTCCTATTATCTCAAGGTCATTGAGGTCATTATGCCGTTCTGTTAGTCTAAGATAATTGGATGTAATGTCATTGGAATGAGTTTTACAAATGATTATCACTTTTGGTAATTGCTTCCATACAACTTTTAGAAAAAAATGTATACAACATCTTACTACTTGCATATTTATAATGTATAAGACATTGACTTCAAATACATGTAAGTTGTAATTAAATGAGGTTAACTGTGCTGAAAAACAATAACTTTTGGTAATCAGTCATAAACTTGATAGGTATATTGTGTGAATCACAAATACCATTTTCTGTACCTGTAATGTTAGAATCGTTAACCTGATAGAAATGGTATTTTATAGGGCAACATTGACGAGTTAGTGTGTAACCACAAGGACGACCCATCTATACCCAGGGTAGACTTCTCCACAGTCATCATCGACTGCTCCAACTGGAGCTTCATAGACTCCATGGGAATCAAAACATTGAAAGCTGTAAGTAGTCACAACACAGTACTAACTAAGAACCTTATATTCCCCAAATTGTACAGATTGTACCGGCCTATGGTCACAAACCCTCACAAACCCTCCTATGCAGATTGTGCAGATTAGGGTCACACCTGAATTCTATGCTCATCCATGGACAGCTTTTCATCGATTTTAACAATTAATCCTTAAAATGTCCTTACATTATTTCAAGTTAAGGAATGGAAGTTTTATCTTTAGACCATTCATTAACAGAAACGTTATAGTCCTCACACATACTGATACTGTGTATTGGTGGTAAGTTTTACACAGTTTTATTGTCTTGCCACCACGAAGTAGCGGAAGCGAGACTAAGTTACCTTTTTAGGTCACCTGAGCTTTGCTCAAGTGACCTTTTCCGATCACTTTCCGTCTGTCGTCGTCCGTCGTGCGTCGTGCATAAACTTTTTACATTTTCAACTTCTTCTCAAGAACCAGTGGATGGAATTTTTTCAAACTTAGTCAGAATCATCCTTGCTAGATAAGACTACAAAATTGTAAAATTGGGATTCCTAACCAAACCCCTGGGGCCAGGGTGGGGCCCCAAAGGGAGAAAATTAACCAATATTTCAAAAATCTTCTTCTCTAGACTCAGAGGTACTACAGTCATTTTCTCTGCATGGATGGAAAGATCATCAGGAGCTTTATTGAAATTGTCAATTTCAGGACCCCCGGGCCATCCCTTCTCCATGTGGGAGGGGGTAAAGTTTACTTTAGTTTATATAGGGAAACACTTTTGTGTATATTTTGACAATTTTCTGTAGGAAATTTTGCTTACATGGTGAGAATTATCCTTGGAGGAAGATGGTTTTAAAATGTAAAATTGGGATTCCTACCCCAACCTTAGTGGCCAGGGCAGGCCCCAAAGGGAAAATTTACCAATATTTGAGAAATCTTCTTCTCCAGACTCAGAGGTACTACAGTCAATTTCAGTGCATGGATAGAAAGATCATCAGCAGCTTTATTGAAATTGTCAATTTCAGGACCCCTGTGCCATCCGTTACCGCTTGGGGAGGGGGTAAAGTTTTCTGCCCCATCCCCAGGGGCTAGGGCGGGGCCTCAAAGGGAACATTTACCAATATTTCAAAATTCTTATCCTTTGATGACATGACAAGTATTGTATTTCACTTAGTTTACATGCTGATTTCCACATCACATCTAAACAATAAAATAAAGCTACCAGTACCTATGATATAACTCAGGTGACCGCTAAGGCCCTTGGGCCTCTTGTTTTTTATAGAAATATTAATAGGATCTGGCAACAAGATTTTAAATCTTATATAAAGCCATCTCCCTTGAGATGTAATACCATTAAAGAAGTACTACAACATACATTTAAGTTACTTTCATTGCAAGTATATATAAGCACTAGACCAACCAAACTTGGACCATAGATGCATCTTAGGTAGTATATCTCAACCCATGCATCAAATGCTGAATGCGGCCAACCTTTCATGGTCCATTGACTTTGTCAGCATCTCCATCAACATTAAGTTTTTGCGTTTAAGTTAGTTTCTCTGATATGTGCATTGATGGTCAAAGTGGGGCACAGGCAAAAATGGCTTGTGTCTTCTATACATTGTGTTAATAAAAAAGTATGGGGTTTGCTGTTACAAATATAAATTCCCAGTTCTGAAACTCACAGTGTCATTGTAACCACAAAAATTGCAACGGTTCATGTACTGTGAAATCTCATAACTGGGTTGGTAATATATTGACAGATACATGCATGCAGAGAAATCATAAAGAAAATAAGGAAAAGTGAATCCTGAATTACAACGGCTGTAAGCACAATGGCAAATGAAATGGCAGGGCATTATATAAAGGTTCAACTGTGCACATGTTACAGTGACATTGGTTTATTTTTATTTTTTAGTTGCATGTCTACTTTTCTGAACAGTGTGTTGCATTCTCTATACATGAAATGTGTATGTTTTGATTTTCTAGTTGTTTCAAATTTGTTTTTATTTTATTTTTTCAGGTGATAAATGAATTCAAGGCTGTAGATATCAATATATATTTAACTTGTTGTAAATGTAAGTATAGAAGATGTATGCTGTGATGGAAAGTTACAAATGTATACAGATTTTGTTGAAGATTATTGAGCGCTCTATTATATAATTTATGAAGTTTTACTTTTGAACAATTTTACATCATTTTAATTCTGTGAGATAATTTGAAAAGGAATGATCCTACTAACATATAAGAGAAATCTATTGTACTGATATACATAATGATAAATGGAAGGAATTGAGTACTGTTACTAAGAATACACAAATATTTTCAATATGAATATATCAGTGAAAAATGGACATTTTTTTAGCAAATTGAATGCTATTTAGAATAATTGTAATACATACTCTGTTTTTTATAAACGTAATCCAATATTTTAAACTCAACACTCTGTTTTTTATAAGTGAAATCCAATATTTTAAACTTGACATTTCCTTTTTGCAGCGGGTGTGCGCGAGATGTTTGATAAAACGGGGTTCTTTGAGGTCCTAGCCACAGAAAATCTATTTGTGTCAATACATGATGCGGTGTTGCAAACACGACACCAGAGGTGGATGAGTCGCAAGGCCAAGGTAACATCATAGTTCTCCTAAAGTTGTCCAAAATATAGGAATGATTTACCTACAGTGCTATTAGGCACAGTTTCCCTTTTTTGTGAAAGTGTCTAATATTCTTTTAATTCATTACCATTAATTTTGTGTATCTGTTATAGTTCTTTCACTTGAAATAAGATTTCATTATCAAAGTTAATGTTTAAATGAATAGCAAATTAAGGTAAAGGAGAGCATTATGAATTCAACACTAAAGTTATTGATTTGGCAGAATGGCTCAGCAAAAACTGACACGATACCAGAGGATATATCAGTTGTGATAGGCGTGCAGGCAGAAGATGCTGAGACAGAATCAAAGAAGGTATTTAATCTTAAATCTCCGACATTAGTTTTAAGACTCACATTATATTGTATTCAATTCCTGTTCTGTTACAAAAAGTGCATTTGACAACTGTAGTTGTAGAAAATGTGTAAACAAACCAGTTGGCTGTAAATAGTGTTTTATGTACCAAATATGGTTAAGAAATGCCCAAACCCAGGCTGACTCTCAGAGCTTAAAGACTGGTAAAAATAGTGAAACAGACAGCTTAGTTGAGTTCATGATCAGTGGATAGGAGTTTGAATCTTGGTCTGATGATTCATTGCATTTCCATCCTATTGATAACTTGACTGGTTTTAAATTTATTTTTTGTTTCCACTTGGGTTTATTATCTTAAGAAAAACTTATGTAAGTTGTCAAATCAGCTTTTGAAAGAAAGATGATTTTAGGTTACTTATGAATGATCTTATTTTTCTGCTACAAAAACAGCTAACAGGCATATTTAGATTTGTTTGTTCTAGGTAAATTGTAAACAGTGATTTTCCTTTTCTATAAATCTTTATACGTATCACAATATACAGTATTACAATGTAGTCTCTCTGTTTCTTCACCAGGACGACACAAAGACAACTTTATGATGACGTGGAACAGCTTGGTACATTAGTGCGTAGCATGTAGTGGTAAGAATCAATTTACTCTAAATCTTACAGATTATGTGGGATGCATTTTCATTTAAATTTGTGTGGCCATCATGAATTCAAATACCTTGTGAATGTTTATGTTCAGTTATATGACAATGCAATAAATACATGTTGTTGTATCCACAGTTGCTTCATTTTCGAGAATGTTGGCTAATGCACACCCATGCATGGAAATAAATTCTTGTAAAAATAAAGAGAATTACAGTATGTACAGTACTTGTCACCTATAGAACTATGTATCTTTCCCATAACAGTAGACCTCTAGATTTTGTTTTCTCTTACCCTGGACAGGTGTATCCGCACTTTTACTGGTGTGAGATTTCCTTGTAACCCTCGGGGAAAGATTCTTAAGTTGCCAAACACTCGGCAAAGCCTCATTTTTGGCAACATAAGAATCTTCCCCCTCGGGTTGAGATTCCCCTATCTCACCCCCAAGGGGGTGAGAGATTCTATTAATATATTGCATGAGAAGATTTGTAAAATTTGTACAAAATTTTGTTTCACTGAAACAGTATTGATAACTGAATTCCCAAAAGCATATGTGAACTACATTTTAAATTTATTTTTCTCTTTCAGAATTTGTAAAAAAAAATGTTGGAGTTGCCTGGCAACTTGTTATGAATTGGAAGCCTAGGTTGTCATACCAACAGAACTGGAAGTGCTTTTTTTCATAGCAACACCTAGCCTGGTGGTTGAACAATAAATAAACCTTAATGTTTAACAAGTGTGACTGTGTTTATAATTGTATAAACGAACAGGTATTTGTTGCATTGATAATTGATAAGTTATATAAGATCATGCTAGGCTGAACTTCCAACTTGTTGTAGCTTTAATTAAACCATGGTTTGCAATACTGTATCATCATTTCTGAAAAACGTTGCTCATTTAAATCAATATATGTAAGATTGAGATATATTTTATTTTGAGTTTCTTAATATTTTATGTCTATGCCGTTTGTTGTTTTTTGTGATAATACTTCAATATATTTTAAGAAAAAGTCACAATATTTTTTATCTTTTGATATGTAGTTTTTTAAAATATCAAGTTGTAAAATGTTGCATCTTTTAAGGACTGTATGTTAAAATAGTAAAGTTAAAATTTTCAGTTTTTGTAGAAAATGATATCATTAAACTTTTAATACCAATGTTAGAAAACTAGGGGAATGGGCAAAGTGGATATCTGCCAAAATTATATCACCAGCATAAATAAAGTGCCGGCAGTTTTGACCTCAACATAAATGAAAACATGGTCATTTTTACAAAATTGAAACTTGTGTAGCGATATTCTAATTCAGTTATTTTGATACTCAAAAGTTGTCATAAAATCTAGGTGTCCCAGCAGATGTGTGAGATTTCAATTTATGTTAATTGTGTATATTTTCTTTTATTATTACATAGTAAGCTATGGGGGAAGCGATATGCTGCTGTTCATATACAAAGAGGTATTTTTATAAGAATTATCTCCCTCTTGGAACTCTCCCTTTAGTTTTTAGTTTTATTTGTGTAACAATTTATACAATCTGATTCTAATCCTACAATCATTTAATATAATCTGTTAAATCATAAAAGTCCAAAATCGTTGGACGTGAAATATTTTTATATGTTTAAATGGTATGGGACTATTTTGGAAAGGAGAGAGATATTACAGAATGTTAAGGTAGCTGAAATGGTTTCATTATACGGAGATCCCAAAAATCATGATTGTAAAACTGGGACTTTATTCACAATGATATTTCATAGGTTGTTATGTATAGGTGAGTCTATCAGAAATAGTTGTGTGTTCCTAGAATATACAAGGGTATATACTGAATAAATATAAATGGCGGGTTGTAAGGGTAAACATTTTTCTGACAGATCCAGTTGTAAAATTAATTAATGTTTTAACTGTGCAATATGTGCAAGACTTGTTTACTCAAACTTTTACAAAACAGGAAATATTAATGGACCCCATAATTAGGACAGGATGAATTCATTTAAAAATTTGTATGAGAAAAATGGTTGTCCATATCTTTCTCTGAAAAAATCAACTATTTGAAAATACTACTAAAGTATAACTCAGCAGACTTTAAGTCATTTTCATAATTCTGTAGCACCACTCGGGCAAAGTGGTTGATTTAAATACCCTGAGATGATCGAGTTGGATTAAGATATACAGTACATGTACATTAAAAAAATCTCCTTAGGGGATGCTAGCTCCCTAGCCCAGTTGCACTAGAGGGCATTGGACAAGATCCAGAATGCTATTAAGAGATTAAAAGCTACTCCTCAAGAAATGCCAACCAGATGTCAACAAATCTCTGGGTCAAACATATCGTTTTAGATTTTCTGTTACATAACTGGTTACTATATTTACTTCAAAAGAAAACAAATTCAATAATACTCAGGTCTGAAATCTTAATATGACTGCAGAGATCAAAACATGGGTGAAAGGATCAGCTTGATATGCTTAATTGAAACAGACGATTTCTTCCTACATCGTACATCTTGTCCTGAATATCGTCGTCACAGCTTAGCTAGGCTAGGGGGTATAGATTTGTGTGCACCCACTCATCCTGTTTTTATTGGTTGTTTATTCAGAAAGGTTGAGAGTTTCCCGTCTGATTCTAAAATTTGTTCTTAATTGGAATGTGTGTATTGGATGTGTGGGTGTGCTTGGGATGTGTGGAGGTGTATGGGTGTGTATGGGCTGTGTGGTTGTGTATGGACTGTGTGGGTGTGTATGGGATGTGTGGGTGTGTATGGGATGTGTAGATGTGTATGGGATGTGTGGGTGTGTATGTGTGGGTGTGTATGTGGTGTATGGGAGGTGTGGTTGTGTAGTGGGTGTATGGGATATATGGGGTGTATGGGATGTGTGGGTGTGTATGGGATGTGTGGGTGTGTATGGGATGTGTGGGTGTGTATGGGGTGTATAAGGTGTGTATGTGCTGTGTGGGTTTGTATGGGGTGTATGGGATGTGTGGGTGTGTATGGGATGTGTGGGTGTGTATGGGTTGTGTGGGTGTGTATGTGGTGTATGGGAGGTGTGGTTGTGCATGGGGTGTATGGGGTGTATGGGATGTGTGGGTGTGTATGGGGTGTATGGGGTGTGTATGGGTTGTGTGGATTTGTATGGGATGTATGGGTCATGAAAAGGAACTGTTAAAGTTGTACTGTGAAGTTTAATGACATTGTTTCTTCCTCATCAGGGATTCATTTCACTGAACTTATCCTTACATGTATCAGTATGAACCGAGTGAGTACAATAGCGACCTACAACATTGACTCTGCTGTGTTGTATATATGTTATAGTAATACATGTAGTATAAAAACATATACATGATAAAATGTGTGATATATTTAATAGTTTTACATGTATTTAGTTGCCAAATATACTTAAGAGCATTGATCACCAAAACATAACCGGTACTTATTTCCAAACATCAAATTGAGGGGAAACTTTTTCTACCAACATTTGTGCAATGTTTCACTAAAACTGATCTAAATAGCAGTTTATACATTTTCTTAGTTGTACGGATTCATGATCTATAATTTAATATTATCATATACCATCATGTTTAAGATTGATAATTTTGCCTGTATCAACTTTGAGTTATCACCTTACAACCTTGTGCAAAACAAAGTAAGTAAAACATAATACCTGAGTGTTAAATAAGACTTATTTTATCATTTCAAATTATTTTATTTCAAGAGGATAAGTATTATTTTCATTATTTTGAAGCGTTTTCATTATGCAGAGAAGACAATTTCAACTCCCACTAAATATGATCCTTATGAAATATGATACAGTAAATATTGTAGTTTTGAGGAGTTACCTCCCTTTGACTGCAGTTCATATTGTTATAGAGGAAAGAAACATAAAGACAGGTTCCACCTTCAATTGGGGTTCGATTCACAAACAAAATGGGAGCTTATATATAATTATGGCGCTGCGTTACTCATCAAAAGTATTTTAAAAGAAAGATAGGGCGTGATTTTGGACTAACCAGTATATTCATAGGTGTCCAACATTAACATACAGATGGTGATATTGATAAACGTACCAGCGGGGTACATGATGATTTGTGAACACTTGAGGTAATTGAGTATGAATCAGTGCTGTATATAAACATATATATATATAGAGAGAGAGAGAAAAAATAAGATTAACGACCGACTAAAAAAAACTAGCTGCTTTCACCCTTCACAGGGCTCTTCAGGTTTATTCAAAAGAACAATGTCCTGACGTCACAATTACATGTCATCACACTACAATAGTAACGTGACGTCACAAAGTACAAGTATTACCTTTGATATTACCTTTGTATCAACTATTTTCATCAGACACTATTTTAAGAGAAACGAAAGAAGACCAACTAATCAAAATATTAAAACCAAGTCTCAACAGGCCACAGTAAAATTTTACACTAAATTGCCCACCAATCTTGTGTACTTCGTGACATCACGTTACTATTGTAGTGTGATGACATGTAATTGTGACGTCACGACGTTGTTCTTTTGAATAAACCTGAAGAGCCCTGTGAAGGGTGAAAGCAGCTAGTTTTTTAGTCGGTCGTTAATCTTATTTTTTCTATATTTACTTCCTTCACATGGACATTTAATCCCTTTTTATTATATATATATATATATAAATGAACATATTCATGTGATAAATATTATATAATGACAGTATTTTATCAGTGAGTAGTATTTATAAACCAAATCATGTACATAATGTAACACTGTCAAGGAAGTACATATATAAAATTGAGTACATGTGTTTAATATTATGCAAAGATGCCAGAAAATAGTATTAAACTTGAGGTTTTATAATGATATTACTTGTTGTGTTTTCCTGTTTTACTGGATTATATATGATACAACTTCAGAGCTAATGGATGACAAGTTCCATGACAGTGTGTAAAAATGTTACCTTCAAGTCAACATTTTCCTGTCCACATCAGACACCATAGATTATTATTTATGTCATATTAGTAATAGAGTTGGCTTGTACCACAAAAATACCTCCAAAACATTGTACCACAAAAATACCATCAAAACATTGTACCATTTTATCTTTTATTCAATTGTACAAAAAATTATCATATATCACAGGTCAACATGAATTATGCAATAATATCATAAAACACAACAAGGACACAGACTTAAAGCTGGTCTGTTTATTGGATAGACTTCCCATGGCCAAAGTCATTATTTATTGACATATACCCATGTGTAATGTACATCTTAAGGCTGAGGTAGAATAACATGGCATCACAAATTGTCAGGCTCCTTCCAGTTGGAAAGAAAAAATTCTGACAATACAAAATGTTACTCCGCCGAATAGGAGCAACCTATAAAAACACAAATACCACATTATGTAAACAAAGTAGCTATATCAACTGACTACCAGGACATAGATATACAGTCAAATGGAGTATAAAACAAACAGGAAACATAGGTTTTTTTGTGATAAGGATGATTATAGTAAACCTACTCAAGCAACCACCTTTATTAAGAATTTTTGGATTTACCGTTAATAGTCTGTCAATAAATGTTTGATTCTGTGTTATTTATGACATCTGTACATGTGTGACATACAAGTGTATCGCTTCACATTATGTCTACATGTGTAACATACAAGTGTATCGCTTCACAATATGTCTACATGTGTAACATACAAGTGAATCGCTTCACATTATGTCTACATGTGTAACATACAAGTGCATCGCTTCACATTATGTCTACATGTGTAACATACAAGTGTATCGCTTCACATTATGTCTACATGTGTAACATACAAGTGAATCGCTTCACAATATGTCTACATGTGTAACATACAAGTGAATCGCTTCAACACCATGTCTAGATCTGTACAAAAAACTTGGGCTTTCAAGTAAAACATAAAAATAGGCACTGGTCTGTTAAATATAAAACTAACAAAACTTCCATTTATTAAGTACAGCTTTTGCCCTATAATATATTTTCTTAAGATATTATAACCAAACACATGCTAGGATAAACAAGAAGGGCAGTGTTGCTTATTTGCTGTTTCATGGTGTTGACAACATATTTTTAAAGCAGCTAAAATCAATTCAATAAGTACGGTATATTGTATCAGCAATTGAAGAGGATATATGGCAGTTATGCAAAGTGGGTAGCTCTTTAATTTCTTCATGCAATTTAGCTGCAGGCCAAATATCTGTACTCAAGGCCTCATAGTTACTGTATAGTAAATAAAGCACTGTTTATGTTTTAACATTTTTTTTATTCCTATGACATTGAATATGGGTGTTGTAATAGAAGTATAAAATTGACACAAGGAATACACATGACAGATGCCACACAACAATATATAGGCACACAGGCACTTTACGTCAGGTCAGCTGAAAACAGTATATAGGCACACAGGCACTTTACGTCAGGTCAGCTGAAAACAGTATATAGGCACACAGGCACTTTACGTCAGGTCAGCTGAAAACAGTATATAGGCACACAGGCACTTTACGTCAGGTCAGCTGAAAACAGTATATAGGCACACAGGCACTTTACGTCAGGTCAGCTGAAAACAGTATATAGGCACACAGGCACTTTACGTCAGGTCAGCTGAAAACAGTATATAGGCACACAGGCACTTTACGTCAGGTCAGCTGAAAACAGTATATAGGCACACAGGCACTTTACGTCAGGTCAGCTGAAAACAGTATATAGGCACACAGGCACTTTACGTCAGGTCAGCTGAAAACAGTATATAGGCACACAGGCACTTTACGTCAGGTCAGCTGAAAACAGTATATAGGCACACAGGCACTTTACGTCAGGTCAGCTGAAAACAGTATATAGGCACACAGGCACTTTACGTCAGGTCAGCTGAAAACAGTATATAGGCACACAGGCACTTTACGTCAGGTCAGCTGAAAACAGTATATAGGCACACAGGCACTTTACGTCAGGTCAGCTGAAAACAGTATATAGGCACACAGGCACTTTACGTCAGGTCAGCTGAAAACAGTATATAGGCACACAGGCACTTTACGTCAGGTCAGCTGAAAACAGTATATAGGGACTGTACAGAGATGCCTTACAGCTCCTTTACGTAGAATTTAAAATCCGTCAAAATGACAAACTTGCTGATGTAAAATGCATACACTTCAAAGGTGAACATCTCATTGACTTTATTGTTTTTGTTCATTATGTGTATTACTTTCCAATTCATCATAAATCTGACAGCAACACCGTCATAATACTTCCCTTCCTTATCTACTGTGTAGGTACGGCCATATCTACTGTGTAGGTACGGCCTTATCTACTGTGTAGGTACGGCCTTATCTACTGTGTAGGTACGGCATGGTATATTGCATCTATCCCCGTCACTGTTCGATTATTATAGTAAATTATATCTCTCCATTTTCAGGAATACCGTTATGTAATTTCATAATAATATTATGCTTAAACAATTGCAACTTATTAATTAGAAAATGAAAAATGAAAATGAAAATAAAATTTGGAAGTGACAATAAATAATTGTTTTCAGTAAAACTACACTTGACATCCTCTCATCTCACATATTCATAGGAACATAAATATACATACACTGTACATGCAACCCCATCAATCATAACTTCTTTACATGAAAACAAATCTTAGTTATTTTGTACAAATTCAAAATAAAAATTCCACATCATCAGGTTTCATTCTTCAGTTTCTCAAACACTTTCTTCAGCCCTTCTGTTTTAATTCTCTTTTCCACGTGGTCCATTTCCTCATCAAAAGTGACCGTCTCCGTGGACATGAGTCCAAACATGCGGTCAAGTTTGGACAGGTCAGGTCTGTTCTTGTCAAACTTGTATTGTAGAGGTTGGAAGCCTGCCTCCTTGAGCTCTGTGACCATCTGTCCTTCCTGGGTCTGGCCGAGAAAGGACACAAACACAAGTTTGGCCGGATACACTTCTTCATAGTATCTCTTAAACAGTTTACTGAACCTGTCACAAAAATAGACACAAATTGAGAATTCTGTATTTCATATACATGCACTTGCTTATAAATAAACAATAAAAAAATCAGATTTTCCTCTATTACTCAATATCTCTGCCCTTCAATTATTTTTATCAGACACAATTTTTGACGTGTCTAGTTTGACCACTCTAATTGTAAACCCAGCTTTTAGACGGATTACTGTTACATATCCTGACTTTACACCATTTACTTTCATTTAGCTTTTGCTTTTTTTGCCTTTCCTCATTAAGAACAAATATTTATCAAGACAAGGAATATTTGCATAAACCTCATTCATACAATACACTGCTTTTCCACTGTGAGGGGGAAAATTAAAACAGTGAAATCACAGATTTACTGGGAAGGGCAATATTTCAAAGGGTAAAAAAAATCCTGGTATGTCCATTTAATGTAATTGGAATTACACAAAACCTGTTTAAAGTGACCACCTGTCCAGAGAGAACTGTTTTTACCGACAGTATGTGTACGGAGTGCTGACCATTTTTACTATCCAGGCTTATAGTTTTGATTCTCGCACATTCAACAGTTGAAGCATTACGTCATGGTCTAGCTAGCTTGCACTGTATAGTGCTGTTATGACATCATAGTTTCAAAAATTACCATTAATGTCTAATGGCAAAATGATAAGGAATAATTTGACCAGCTGATATTGCAATATATGGCATGGAATCAATAAAAAATACATAATTGGATAAAAACACAGTACTTACAAGTATTTTGTCTTTGTCCCATCCTCATCTACCTCCACTTCACCATTTTCTTCCTCGTCCGTCACAACAATAAAAGTTTTCACGGTCTCCTTGTGTTTATAGAACGGGTATAGACTGGCAGCGGGAGTCGTTCCCCCACCGGTATTAGTTGATATGGCAAGATTCAAAATTTCCTCAACAGTTTTTGGCAAGAATGGTGCTTCACGATTCTCGTCATCAAAAAAGACTAGTTTAGCTGAGGTGACGGCTGTTAAAATTCCTGCTATGATAGAGCTTGTCCTGATGGCCACCTCCATTGACCCGGAGGCATCTCCCATCACAACAATAGGAGCTTCCAATGGTAGACTACAAGGTTAAAAGACAAATGTCCATGGTAATCAATGTATTGATATCATTTTTTTCGATTTGACAATTAAGATGCAGAAAGTGCTAACATGTACAATCAGATATGACTCAATGTTGACCGGGGCTGGGGAGGTTAAGGTACATAACTCCATTGTAAAATCTGCATATACAACATTACCAATGCTCCCCAATGATTTTTTTTATCAAACCTAGAGAAAACACTAGACCCTTCATTTTAAAACTTATTTGATATATGGGTAGGCTTATCACCAAGCTTGGGCTTATCTCCAGTAAAGGTTATTTGATATATGGGTCGGCGCATCACCAAGCATGGGCTTATCTTCAGTAAAAGTTATTTGATATATGGGTAGGTTTATCACCAAGCTTGGTCTTATCTCCAGTAAAGGTTATTTGATATATGGGTAGGGGCATCACCAAGCATGGGCTTATCTTCAGTAAAAGTTATTTGATATATGGGTAGGTTTATCACCAAGCTTGGTCTTATCTCCAGTAAAGGTTATTTGATATATGGGGAGGCGCATCACCAAGCATGGGCTTATCTTCAGTAAAAGTTATTTGATATATGGGTAGGTTTATCACCAAGCTTGGTCTTATCTCCAGTAAAGGTTATTTGATATATGGGTAGGCTTATCACCAAGCAAGGGCTTATCTCCAGTAAAAGTTATTTGATATATGGGTAGGCGCATCACCAAGCATGGGCTTATCTCCAGTAAAAGTTATTTGATATATGGGTAGGCTTATCACCAAGCTTGAGCTAATATCTCCAGTAAAACTTATTTGATATATGGGTAGGCTTATCACCAAGCAAGGGCTTATCTCCAGTACAAGTTATTTGATATATGGGTATGCTTATCACCAAGCTTGAGCTAATATCTCCATTAAAACTTATTTGATATATGGGGAGGCTTATCACCAAGCTTGGGCTTATCTCCAGTAAAGGTTATTTGATATATGGGTAAGCTTATCACCAAGCTTGGGCTTATCTCCAGTAAAAGTTATTTGATATATGGGTAGGCTTATCACAAAACATGGGCTTATCTCCAGTAAAAGTTATTTGATATATGGTTAGGCTTATCACCAAACATGGGCTTATCTCCAGTAAAAGTTATTTGATATATGGGTAGGCGCATCACCAAGCATGGGCTTATCTCCAGTAAAAGTTATTTGATATATGGGTAGGCTTATCACCAAGCATGGGCTTATCTCCGGTAAAAGTTATTTCAAACACAACCATAAAACCTATTAAGCAACTAGAACACTGACAGGTCAGTAAGGGCCCCGTCTTGTGGCAATTATATCCCCCATAATCATCAAGAAGCAATCTGCCCATATACATGTAGCTGAGCTTCACATTTGATATTTGGACTTCAAAAAGAATCGCAAGGAAGCAAAATATACATTTTACTTGTACTATGATGTGAGTCTTATTTCCTTTCACCTCCATATTTGCTGGGCTAACAGAAATATAATTACCGGTGCAATACTCATTTGTTAGCTTTGATTTGTTTTATTTCACCTTATATACCTCCTCCATCAAGAGCCAGGGTCAAAGTCAGAGATCCACTTTGTCTTTGACCTTTAGACCCAAATGACCTTGACCATTAACCCAGTGACCCTGATCTTTGGTCAGTTGACTTATTCTTTAATTCAGACCAACTTTGCTTCTTAATATCATAACAAAAAGTTCATCAGTGAAAAATACAAAACTTGACCTTGACCCTTTGTTACCAAGACCTAAGGTCAGTTGACTCTGTGTTAAGTTCTGTACAACATTGCTTCATAATGTCATAACAAAATGTTCATCAGGGAAAAGGTACAAAATTTAACCTTCACCTTTTACCCAATGACCCTGACGTTTGGTCAATTGACTCCTTGTTTAATTCTGAGCTACATTGCTTCAAAGTGTCATAGCGAAATGTTCACCAGTGAAAAGCTACAAAATTTGACCTTGACCCCTGACCCGATGACCTTGACCTTTGGTCAGTTGACTCCTTGTTTAATTCTGATCAACTTTGCTTCATCATGTCATAACAAAATGTTCATCAGTGAAAAGATGCAAAATTTAACCTTGACCTTTGAATCTAATGACCTTGATCTTTGACCTCAACTTTTTACCTCAGTGTGTCTCTGTTTAATTCCTAGCAACTTTGCTCCATAATGTCATAGCGAAATGTTCACCAGTGAAAAGCTACAAAATTTGACCTTGACCCCTGACCCGATGACCTTGACCTTTGGTCAGTTGACTCCTTGTTTAATTCTGCTCAACTTTGCTTCATAATGTCGTAACAAAATGTTCATCAGTGAAAAGATGTAAAATTTGACCTTGACCTTTGAACCTAATGACCTTGACCTTTGACCTTGACTTTTTACCTCAATGTGTATTTTTGTGAACTGAACATCTTGACCAAGTTTCATGTACATCGGTCAATAAATATCAAAGTTATCAGCCAGGAACAAAATTTGTGGAAGGACAGACAGACAGACAGACAGATTACTATAGGGCACCCGTATCTCCGATACGGGGCCCTAATTAACACCATGAGACTTTGGGTGTGATTGACCACTTACTTGACATCCTGAAGTCTTTTCTCTGCATGTATCAGTAAGCTCTGGAAAAATGAAGCCTTGCTGTGATCAGGGGTCCTCTCAAAAATATCTGGACCATCAGGTAATCTCTCCCAATCCCATTTGAAATATATCTCATCCAATGACTGCAGTGATATTCCCTCTCGAATCATCCGCAGGACAAGTAACCTCTCCATCAGTTTTCCAGTGGCCAGAGTGACCTTATGACCAGCGTCCAGTCTGCCCTGAATAGCCTGGTCAACTTCCTTGCACTGCAGATCCTCATAGTACCTAAACATATAATACATAGGTTACTTAGTGACTGGAAGTGTACATACAATACATGAGTCATTCAGTGACTCGAAGAGTATAACAAAGACATGCTCAGTGGCTCATAATGTACATAGGTTACTCAGTGACTCGTAGTGTACATAAAATACATGAACTACTCAGTGACTCGAAGTGTACATACAATACATGGGTTACTCACCGACTTATACTGTACATACAGTACATGTGTCACTCAGTGACTCACAATGTGCATACACTTTATGAGCAACTCAGTAACTCTAAGTTTGCATACAATACATGGTTTAGTAAGTGACTAGTAGTGTACATACAATACATGGTTTAGTAAGTGACTAGTAGCGTACATGCATACAAACAGTCATGACTGATAGCAGTTTTCTTAAACAATCATTAATATTTTTGAGAATTTCTAATTGAATTATACAAGAGATTATTTCTTCTATCCAAAAGTATCAGCTGCATCTGAAAACTATTGATAAAGTAAGCAGAGTTAAACCATTAAATTATCATTGTGATGATCACGTAAAATCAAAATAGTCAACCTTTGTTTCTGTTGAGAGTGAAGTATTAACATGCAGATACTTTATTTCACTAAAGAAACAAAACTTTCTACATACCATAAGGCTGTGTCCAGTTTGACCTCCTTATGAGCCACACGACCTTTAGACTCATCGGTCAGTTTGTCGGTGAGTGGTTTGATGTGGCTGTATGGAATTGCATACTCTTTGAGAAGGTCATTGACATTTTCTGCTGTCACATTGCGGCAGTGTAAAACAAGGGATCCCTCGGGGGCTGATGCTCCAAAACAGAAGGGTAAAAACCATGGCAACATATGGAAATCCTGTAAGAATAAAGGTGAAAAAAACGGTGTTGAAACAGAAACTATTTTAAAAGTTACAGTGACCTTGAACTTTGATCGAGTGACCTTAAATGAAATACAATGTACAAATATTATGTACTTCCATTTTAGAATGGTACCCATATACTCAGCCCTAAAGGCTAAAGAGAACTTCCCAACTGGGTCATACAGATTTCACTACATTTCCTCATATTAGTCCCTTTTTTTCCTTCATAAATCTCTTAAGGCTGCCTAGACTGCTCATTTGAATTAATTACCTTTTCAGGTTTGAAATGACAAATATCAGCCAGTTTCTTCCATGGTTCTGTTGGGAAGTGTAGAGCGTAGAATTCCAGTTCATCAGCTGTGAGGGTTTGGACCCATTTCTTTACATGTTTACTGACTGAACCTGAAGCTGATCCGGCCTAAAACAGAAGAAACAAAATTCTGCAACATTTTTCTTTGCTATTTTGTTTAGTTTAAAAAACATATATTTGTATACATATAATTAAAAAAAATCATGCTGGTCAACAACATATATCCTGAAATAAGCCTAGAGGACAACATATAATCTTTAACTTAAAGTAAAAGCCTGGTCTTAGTACAGGACAATGGAATGGTATCTTTTGGCATTCCCACTGAACTGCAATATACATGTAGACACAGGCTTGTTGACGGATAAATATTGCAAGCATGTTTCTAATATCGCTAAGTATATAATCATCATTTAAGCATCTTCATCAATAGTAGTATTCTTTATTCAGTTTTAAATACGCCACTGAAGGTCAAGGTACATAGTGAGTAATGCAGTAACAAACCAGTCAAATAGATATTGTCGCCTTACCAAGAAATCTTTATTTATTTTACTATTTTTCATCACAACATATTCCAATTCCAACCAAGTGAAGTTTTTTATGAATAATCTAATGGTGAGAGTGTTGATAAAGAATCTATTGATGAGAGAATTGATAAAGAATCTATTGATGAGAGTGTTGATAAAGAATCTATTGATGAGAGAGTTGATAAAGAATCTATTGATGAGAGAGTTGATAAAGAATCTATTGATGAGAGTGTTGATAAAGAATCTATTGATGAGAGAGTTGATAAAGAATCTATTGATGAGAGAATTTATAAAGAATCTATTGATGAGTGTTGATAAAGAATCTATTGATGAGAGTGTTGATAAAGAATCTATTGATGAGAGTGTTGATAAAGAATCTATTGATGAGAGAGTTGATAAAGAATCTATTGATGAGAGTGTTGATAAAGAATATATTGGTGAGTGTTGATAAAGAATATATTGGTGACAGTGTTGATAAAGAATCTATTGATGAGAGTGTTGATAAAGAATCTATTGATGAGAGTTTTGATAAAGAATATATTGGTGAGAGCGTTGATAAAGAATCTATTGATGATAGTGTTGATAAAGAATCTATTGATGAGATATATGATAAAGAATCTAATGATGAGAGTGTTGATTAAGAACTAATGATGAGAATATTTTATTTGCAGCTACTACCTGATGGTAATTGACCTAAGACAAAATATTTGTCAGATCTTAATATGACTTCAATCTCTGGATCATGCACTAATTATGCCTTCAATCTTGGCAACGATTTAAGTATAGCAACGAATTGTAGATAGAGTGTTAAATAATGCCTTACTGAGGTTTTAAGGACCAGCAAATTATCCAGGTCGGATTTAAGTTTTCCAAGTGTTTTTGATTTGACTGGAGTCTTTTGGATCTGAAGCTGTCTTATTCTCCTCTCCACTGTCCTGGCACATCGCCCTGCATCCAGCAAGGTAACAGCTTTCAGTACCTCCACTAGACCGAAGCTTCCCTTCAAACGCAGCAAGGCTTCAGACAAATCTGTGTCATTCCTTGCCCAAGCAGCAGCTAAAGACCTGGCACGAGCATCTGAAAACATCAGTTTTTAGTTATTTTTGCTGTTCTATGAGTTTTTAATTATTTTTGCTGTTCTATGAGTTTTTAATTATTTTTGCTGTTCTATGAGTGTTTAATTTTTTTGCTGTTCTATGAGCTTTTAGTCAGTTCTTCCTGGGTTCCCATGTGGGCAGGAATGTAACATGCAGAGGTCATTATTTTATCAATGCCCTCTGGGGATCAAATCCAGAACCTCTGGTTTACTAGTCTTACCCTCTACTCAACAGATTGGATCAGACAGATCAGCTCTCAATAGCCGAGTGGATAGGAAGCAGTACTAGTATTTTACCAGGATGACATCAGGATTATCAACAGATATACATTTAATTCCTTTTGTCATGAAAAACAGCATATGAACAGAATATATTATGTATGATTAAATTCTCATTTTGTTGGGTCGGTTACAATGAACAAATGATAATGAATGTTTTAATTTTCACAATTAATGCTGTGTATTATGTTAATGGTAACGTTTAAACACCCCAAAAATTTCACCAGATGACACACACTTTGTGATTTTGTTTAATTTTTCACTTTCAGGTGCATCTCAACAATACTGATAGATAATTGAGTTCCTGTGACAGACCTTAGAATCCATAGGTCTGTCCTATACAAATTTAATGCTGACTGTTATCCAGGCAAAGGTATATCTATACCTCAAATAACACAGTGATAACAGGTACAGTATATTAGGTTCCTGTTGATCTATCCCCCAACCCCTTTTTTAGAGCAGATACACATACATGTACAATGCATTAATGTCATGTCAGCAATAGCAGATCACGGAAGATAACTCTGATCTGCTAGATATTATGAAATAAACGTTTGTATTTCATGAAATGACCACTTGTATTTTATGTGGGAGAAAAATAATCATCTCCACTTTGGGAACAAAACAGAAAAATCTCAACCCTTGGGGTAAGATACAAAATGTATATCCTTATATAAATGTCTGGCCCTCGGCACAGTCTCAGGCTATAGACATTTAATAATTCTACGCCTCAGGTTAAGATTTTTTCTGTCTTAGGTGGGGAAATATTATATAGGCCTAATTAAGTGTTATAGATTTGTCTACACTATAAACAGTAATATCAATGTAGCAGAACTGGACTGGATCGATCAATGACGACCAGGTTAGAGCTCAACTGGTAGAGTGTCTGTCTAAAGTTTGGAGAGACCCAGGTTCGAATATAGCCAGTTTCCTCTGGCCCTGACACCAGACAAAATGTCTAAGTCTGGTGCAAGGTCCAGAGGAAACTCGGGCTAGTTTAAAACCTGGTCTGGCCGTTGCATTTCTCTTAGACAGGTTCAAGAAGAGATGGATTTTTTTCCCGAAGGTTTCACTGTTACTATAATCAGGGATTTGTATATATGTCCCTGAATAGTTACTATAATCAGGGATTTGTATATATGTCCCTGAATAATAAATAGGTTGATGCAATAAAATACTCACTCAGCGGTATTTCCACTCCATTTTTAACCATCACATCCATCGCTGCTGCATATCTGTCTCTGTTAGCTTCCTGACCTTTGAAATGTTGGTCAAATGTCACATTTCCCATAAAGTAACTACTAGCGTTTCCGTTTATGTCCAGATCGTCGGGGGCAAGCGCAATTTCGACCTCATCGGGAGCCCGAGACGTGTGGTCCGCCTGCTGGAAACCGCCACGATATCCTCCTCTGCCCCGGCCCCGGCCCCGTCCACGTCCCCTCCCCCTTCCTCCTCGTCCGGGCATTTTTACCTATTCCAAATAGAATTTGTTAACTTGAAATTGATAATTCTCCTGTTTTTGATTATTTATACAAAAGAAAACAGTTATTCTGTACGTCAAGATATCTGCATATTACAATAATGTACGGTAAACCCGTGTGTGATCAGGTGATGATCGTGATCATCGACTAAGCAAAATTTTGCGAATGGCAGCAAGAGAGGTCCGTTATAAAGTAAATTTAGCCTATTGCATGCTATGTCAGGACTTTCCGTAAGTTTTGTGCAATACGCAAGCCGGTGGGCGTGGTTGTTCGGCATTGCACCATCAAGATGTAAACACTGGAAGTTGACAGGAAGTGCCCCTAGAAACACAGGGACCTGATAGGCTAACTGTATACATTACATTGTTGCGACCTCTTTTGAGGTGTAGGAAGCTGTGTTAAAGCTAGCATGTGAAATTCGTCAAATTATTCCCATTGTTTAAAAGTATTGGACGATGCGATATATACACTTTCATAATATTCATAGCTAAATTAACGTAGTTAAATTGTCATGTCCCTGTGTTGGCGTTTCTAAATGAGGAACGGAATACGGATTAAAATATCAGTAGAAGTGATTTTTACTGAGAAAACAGATGGCATGTACATTTATATATTAAGATTGTCAGTACGTATCATATATCAATTTATAGTATTTCTATTTGTTTAAACACGGAATTAGCTATCTAAGTCCGTGGTTTAAATGTTTATATATTTCTTTTCATTTATTAACATTTTATTTTATTTTTGTATCTATCTTCTTCTCTTGACGACCTTAGTTGAACTAATCTTAATCACTTAAAGCTATATATTTTAAATGCTGGTACATGTACACTACCTGTGTATTATCTGTATAATAACTCAGTAGCATCAATGTTATTTTTCAAATGATCAACTGCTGAAACCATGGCTGACCATCTCACTTTGGTGCTCTTTCAATTTACGTCCTATATCCCAACAGTAAGGTTAGAAACACACAGAGAATGGTGCATAATATATACGTAATTTCCAAATCGTTAAAATATAATAAAGTATCATTATTTCCAGGGAATTCTTAGAATTCCTGAATCACGAAAAACTCTAGCGCTAAATTAACTGAATTATCTTATAGAATAGATGTACGTATCTTTAATTGGCTATGTTACTTAAACGGACGGAACTTTTGAATGAAATATTAAAAATATTACCGAAAATTGGAGGTTGCGTCTCTTTTGCTCGTCACTATATATCGTGTATAGTCTTACGCTAGAGTTTAATTTATATAGCCATACCAGAGACGTATATATTGTAATATCAGGGACGTATAGTGAAGGGGATTAGCAACTCCCTCTCTGCCTTACCAATTTTATAACACGTCATTCTAGACTTACCTCCCCCCTGATTCCGGAGTAGATAGCGAGCGCCACCTATCTAAATTTTGACAAAGCAAGATGGCGTCGATATCGCTTCGTTAGATCAGAGACCTATGGTTAGATGCAGAAGTTGGTGTGAAAACCAACCTATCTCGATAAGCGTTCTTACGTCTTTCGTTTATCCCATTGTTATAAGCTGATTGTATTACTTTTAATTGATAAAATATGTGGTATCATAGTATTTGATGTCTCGTTTTTGTGGTATATTTTTCTATTTTTAAACGCGATGTAACGCGTGGTTCAGAGTATTGTGGTGGGCGTCGATAGACAAAAATGCGGGATATAAAAAACCCACATGTATGTGAACCACCTCACTCCAAAAGTATTTGACCGATCGTTTTAAAATTAGCAGCAATAGAAAGCTGAATAATTTTTATAACGACCCAATCCATTTTAATTGCAAATAATATAATTTAACTTGTGTTATTTTTGTGTCAAAAAGTGTAAATATCAGCAATATATTTCACTGGAACGTAAGTCATGGCGAAAGTAGTTGGTAACTGCTCACTGTTTTGATTAATTTTATAAACTATCGTTTGTATTTTTTAAAACAATTGATATCAATAAACAGCCGAGTAATTTCTATGTTAAGTAGGCCTGATTTGATTTGCATTATTTGGAACGATTTGGAACGATAGCGATGTCACAGATGAAATTACTCGTCTGGTAACGAAGGACACGTGTTGTTAAAAATTCAAAACAACCGGAAATAGTAATTAAACGCAACAAAAAAGTATGGCCTGCATTCGGGGATCAGCTCATTTCAAAAATACTTCTTTTTGAAATTTACAGCGATAGAAAGTTGAATAATTTTTTGATATGTAGTACTAATTTTTATGGCAAAAAATAACAAACTTTTATTGGTAATGTTTCCCATTCATTTTGCATTTCTTTGTTCTGTAACAAATTGGTTAAATACAGTTTCAGCTACTCGTTGCATTCGCTTTTACATTTACAATGTAGTGTAACTGTCTGACTTCTATAATTTCATGTAAGAGTGAATACATTACTCTCTTCTCTCACTTCTATCGCCTCGAGTATTGGCAGAGACGTATATATTACCAGGGACAGTATATAGAGGGGATTGGCAACTCTGCCCCAGTCAAGATTCTATAGCACGTCGCTTTTGTGTTTGTTCACCGAACCGCGAAGTCAACGATCAGCCCGCGCTTGCGCACCAGCGTTAAAATTAAACACGCACCTGCTTTCGGTGTCATGTCAACAATCTCGCGGAGATCGAAGTGATTTGATAACGGTTAGCCCTAATTGGGACCGTGTATTAGTAGGTCTTCTTTTTATTCCAGGGACAGGGCTATCGTTGCCACTATGTCTAGCCTTTCGGCTGTGTTGGTGGCTATTACAACAAATCACATTTCGTAAAGCACGTTCCAGTGAAAATAATGCTAATATTGACACTTTTTGACACAAAAACAGCACAAGTTATTTGTTATTTTTTGCCATAAAAATTAGTACTANTTCATCTGTGACATCGCTATCGTTCCAAATAATGCAAATCAAATCAGGCCTACTTAACATAGAAATTACTCGGCTGTTTATTGATATTAATTGTTTAAAAAAACCAAAAAACGATAGTTTATAAAATTAATCAAAACAGTGAGCAGTCACCAACTACTTTCGCAATGATGATTTACGTTCCAGTGAAAAATAATGCTGATATTTACACTTTTGGCACAAAAATAACACAAGTTAAATTATATTATTTGCAATTAAAATGGGTTGGGTCGTTATAAAAATTATTCAGCTTTCTATTGCTGCTAATTTAAAAAAGATCAGTCAAATATTTTTGGAGTGAGGTGGTTCACAAATATGTGGTTTTTTTTATCCCGAATTTTTGTTTACGGTTGTTAACAACACGTGTCCTTCGTTACCAGAAGAGTAATTTCATCTGTGACATCGCTATAGTTCCAAATAATGCAAATCAAATCAGGCCTACTTAACATAGAAATTACTCAGCTGTTTATTGATATTAATTGTTTTAAAAAATATAAACGATAGTTTATAAAATTAAATCAAAACAGTGAGCAGTCACCAACTACTTTCGCAATAATGATTTACGTTCCAGTGAAAAATAATGCTGATATTTACTCTTTTTGACACAAAAAATAACACAAGTTAAATCATATTATTTGCAATTAAAATAGGTTGGGTCGTTATAAAAAATATTTAGCTTTCTATTGCTGCTAATTTAAAAAAGATCGGTTAAATACTTTTGGAGTGAGGTGGTTCACATACATGTGGGGTTTTTTTTATCCCGCACCACAATACTCTGAACCACGCGTTACATCGCGTTTAAAAATAGAAAAATATACCCCAAAAACGAGACATCAATTAATATGATACCACAGATTTTATCAATTATAAGTAATACAATCAGCTTATAACAATGGGATAAACAAAAGACGTAAGAACACTTATCGCGATTGGTTTGTTTTCACGCCAACTTCTGTAATCTAACGAAGCGGTATCGACGCCATCTTGGTTTGTCAAAATTGAGATAGGTGGCGCTCGCTATCTGCTCCTGAATCAGGGAGAGGTAAGTCTAGATTGACGTGTCATAAAGTTGGTAAGGCAGAGAGGGAGTTGCTATTCCCCCCTGATTATGCCATACTTTATCAAACGCCTTAATTGGAGTGGTCGCAAAATACAACACACAAATATTCTTTTCTGTCGATGGTTGAAACAATATGATAATGCTCGATCAGCTGCAGGTAAACTGTCGAAAGACCTGGCAGGAATCCAGATTGATATTTATAAAAGATAGTATTGTCCCTTGCAAAATGGAAGACAAATTTGAAAATACACATTTCCATTATTTTAGAAACACAAGTTAACATAGAAAAAGGTCGATAATTTACCGGAAGGAAACAGTCACCAATGTTAAATCATGAGCTTTCTTCCATTCAGCTTGAAAGGAACACGGATGGAACGATTAAATAAGCTTTGAGCATACGGTGACTCATTATATCAGGGCCGACTGCTTTACTAGTATCAAGAACTGACAAAACATCAAATACATATTTTTCTCTCATAACGACATCAGTTAAAGAGTTCGCGCATGTTTTGAAGAAATCAATACTAGATATGGTAGAAAAGTGGTCATTAAGTACTTCAGTGTTTTCTTCGTCATTATAAGCAACTTTTGGAATACCATACTCAACATAATCAAGGGGAGGAAGTAATGTTTGTGGAGAAAACATAAAACTTTTTAAGTATTTTTCAGAAATAGTAGGGGTTAGCTTTCCTTGATTCATCAATGTGTGACTCAAGATGACTATAAAACCGTACTTTCGCTTCTGCTTCTTTTTTCATATGATTTACAGTATTTCTGGCTTTCTGATAATTTTTCCAATCTGTAAAATTACCAGTATTGAGAGTCTTCTTTCTAAGTATGTCTTTCACGAATCTGACAATGTTTACGGAAAACTGAGTCAAGCCAGGGTTGTCAGTTGGACGGACAGTATACGAACTAGTTCTAAAACATTATCAGTAAAGTTGTCAGTAGCGGGGTCAATGGACGGAGCAGCCATAATAACTGCTTGCCAATTATCAACATTAAGAGAATTATGAAGATTTTCGAAATCTGCTCTTCTTTAATTCCAAACTTGCCTCTTGTAAGCACACTTGCAATTATACGAAAATGCCACAGACATATAAGTTGCTCTATGGTCGCTAATCGTGTCATCCACCCCAAACACACCACAATTGAGACATTTAATATTGTTCGAAATGAAAATAGGATCTAGTAGAGCTCTGGTGTGGCTGAGGTAGGGATTACACGAGTACAGCTGGGAGCAAACTTAACTTGGTATCTAGTGCACTTCGTAGTGAATACGTAGTGAGCAAGGAAGTGCACTTGACAATAGATCGAAGTGCACTCCAGTTCACTTCAGTGTTTACCAAAGTTTAAAAGACTGAAGTACATATTTCAATAATTGTTTTTAATGAAATGGGTTCCTTTGTGATATGAAAATTGAAAGAGAAAGGAAAGAAACATTTAACTGAATATTTCATTATATCGAATCAACGATACACATATCTGTTTTTTATCACTTAAAGTTTCAACTGAATATATACATGTACACAGAGGATGTGTATCTCTGGTGATTATAGAAAATCTATAGATAGATGTAATCTTTCAGAGGGAAAAGTTTAAAAGTACACGTTATCAAAGTTAAATTCACATCACATTTCATATCAATGTTGTAGTGACAGGATGGGGGATCAGTATCTGTTATGTGATATGGGTAAATGTGGTAAGTTTTTCTAATTTTTTTTATACTTTTTATGAAAGGCCTCTCTATAACACGACATCAATGGAGTAATTCGCTTCTTTGTTTTATACAAACAAGTCAAGAAAAGATAAAATTCCAGAAAAATCTTATAACATGGCATGGCACTATATAGATAAAGGGTAAACATCAAGCTGAAGATGTGTAAATAACTAAAGTTCGTTAATTCCAAGTTGCTTTCTTATAGAAAAATTAAGAAAAACTATGAGTTTGTCTGATTTTGATTTCTTTGCTATATATGTATACACGTCAGGTACACGTACATGCTGATGGGTGAAAAAGAAAATACATCCCCCAACCACCACCCCGTCCCCTGGGTACCACACCAACGTAGCAGGTATACAGCTGGCCTGGGGGTACAGTAATGAATTGCCACTTGTGAAAATGATGACAACATTAAATTCATGGCTGCAGGGTGCAAGCACCTGTAGGTAAAGTTATATATATATACATGTACAAAAATTAAATTAAATTAAATCAACTAAGTTTCACAGGAACCTCAAGTTTTAATCATACCGTTACACTTTACTTCAGCTGCAGATTTAAAGATGGTTGCTAGGGCAATGTAACCACCCCTGGCACATATTTTTCTTTTCAATATGATTGATTGATGTGGCTTTACGTCCTTGTTCTGGTTATAACCGAGCCTATGACAAACTTTTCAATATGATATCTACCTGAGAATATATGGGCAATGACCACCCACTGACCATTCACCTGTGGTCACAAGGGGTTCTGCTGGTATGACAAGCCAAATTGTCATTTATGCATGGAGCAATGTTGATCCAGTACTTAACCAAATTATATAAGATATCTTATTTAATTATAAAAGATATCTTATGTAATAAATAAGATATCTTACACACCTTTCTTTATAAGATATCTTATATATTAGATATCTTATTAAGAAAAGTTTATGAGATATCTTAAATCTTTTACAAGATATCTTATAAAGTATATAAGATATCTTATAAAAGATATAAGATATCTCAAACTTAAAATAAGATATATTATATGTTTATAAGATATCTTATATAATATATGAGATATCTTATATAATATATGAGATATCTTATATAATTTGGTTAGTTACTGGACATACATTATATTGCTCCATGAATAAATGACAACTTGGCTTGCCATATGCTGGGCTGTACCTAATCTTAACACCTTATGTGAAGGCAATTAATCCTGTCAATTAATCCAGTCCATTGTCCGTCCAGTAGATATACACAGAAAAATCAGTACACGCTTACAGGTAAGATACTGTGGCTGTTCCTTTGTCAGGAAATGACTGCCTCGTGCACAATTCTATTTCAAAATAGTGACTGTTTCACACTACCTAATCCCTCAAATGGTTTACAAACTGGGTGTTACATAAATAGTCAACACTAATTGATAACACACCGCGTACTTAAGCTGAACCATGATAGAGCCTTTTGTACCTGTACGTTCAGTGGTCCATAATAGCCACAGGGCACAGGTGTTACAATTAAAGAACGAGAAGCTTAAGGTCAATACATGTATGTATTGCATTTTTTCTTATTCACAGTACCACGGACTTAGATAACAATCTAATCTAATTCCATGACAGTACATAAAGTTACCTACATAAGTTTTCCATTTGTTTCCCTCCAAAGTAAACATACAGAAAAAAACTCACAATCATGTACTAATAATGTAATGAGAGATATTTATATTTAATCAGAGACGTATATATATATACGTCTCTGATTTAATGTAGACGTAATACTGTTATAACTATAAAGAAACTTCAATGGTGATTATGTCTTTAAGACAAAGTATTTAAACCACCAATATAATTATATACATGTACCATGGATCCAAGTCGGTACATACGTGGTAATATTGAGCCACGATGATTGCCATTTTCATAAAAGGATACTGCTTAAATCATTTTAAGTATATGAATAGGTATACGTAACATCACGGAATAAGATTATCCAAGTCCGTGGTAATATCTAATATTTCATCTATTTATTGATTTATTTAACAGACGGGAAGGGAGAAAATCAAAGTATGTCTAAACTGATGAAAAGGCTAGACATAACAAGAAAATTAGTAGTTAACTCCAGTGCACTTCAGTGTTAACTCCAGTGCACATCAGTGTTAACTCCAGTTCACTTCAGTTTTAACTCCAGTGCACATCAGTGTTAACTCCAGTGCTCATCTATGTGAACTCCAGTTCACTTCAGTGTTAACTCCAGTGCACAAGCTAGTGAACTTGAAGGAGATCACTTTTCATGAGCACTAGGCTAAGTTAAGTTTGCTCCTAACTGTAGGTTCCATAAATATAATATGTTCCAGCACGGACTTAAATAACATTCCGTGGGTCAACATTGAAATCACCAAGAAGAATTATTTCTGGACTATTACCACGGACTTACCACACACACCTAGATTCAATTAAGAGACCACTCTTAATTACGATAAAAAAATCATTAGAAGAATTAGGCGGTCTAAAGAATATACCGAACATGATGCTTCTATTACTATGATGCAGGTTCAAAATCACGCTTTCTGATAGCTTTTATGTAAGTATCAGAGAAAAATATAAGAACACGTACCCACCACGAGCGTTTCTATCATTACGGAAAATAAAGCGAAAAACCCGGGAATATTTAACTGATCATTCAAAACTGATTCATCAAGGTGTGTTTCTGTAAAACACAAAATATCAAAGTCTTGGATAATACTGTCTAGATTACATAACTTGTTCCTAATACTTCTAATAATTAAATGAATTAAGAACACTTAAATCATTTGTTAGGGCCAGCTAGGGTTCATCTTAATATCTCCACTGAACAGGAGTACGATAAAATGAAAAGGAAAATCAGTACTGTATTAATCAGATTCAATAGACATTACTACACTATTCATCTTAATGAAGTATAGACTTTATAGCAATCTGATTAAAATCATCTGTTACATGGCTCCGCCTGAACAGGCGTAGTACGAAGTTAACGAAGCCATGTAACATATGATTTTAATCAGATTGGACTTTATAGTGGATGAATAACATCAAGTTGGGACGAAATGGTCTGTGAAAGGGTTTTGGGGCGAAACGTCTGTAATTCGGGAAATATCCCTTATCCTATAGGACGAGTTTATGTACCTATGTTTATGTAGCCTCGTTATCATTTGACAACATTGACAATTCCAAGATGGCGTCCTCCTTGTCGGAGGAGGAGTTCCATCGGATGCAGGTACTGCAACCATGTAATCAGAGGAATGTCTGACACCCTTGACCTATGTAAACACAAATCGAAAAATTAATATAGATTATTTTTAGGTTTTACCATTGTCGTGGTATATATTCCCATTAATCGATGCTCTGACCATCCTCTAGTCTAACACTGACAGCAGTTTGTAGGGTGTTAGGTGTATCACACTCCTCACTGTCACACTCGATGGTAACTGATTTTTTGTGACACAGAAGGCCAGTGTTCTGATAACTTGTATCTTTCTATTACCCTGTTCCTTCATAGAACTGGAGATGACTAAACACTATCCAACATTGTCAATATTATGTGGATATATCCTGTTCAAATGATCTCTATTTACGAGGTATTTTGTGTTTTGATATATATTGTTTACCACGAGATGTCAGTGTGACTGGTTCTGATTGGTTATTTCATAGAAATATATCGTCAGCAGGTGGCAGCTTACATCTCTTATATATGAGGAAGTGACTGCCCCTCAAAAAATGAAAAGAAAACACACAAAATGACAGTGCATTGTAGTGGTTAAAAATAAAATCCTGTTTTAAATTTTAAGCCTTTCTTTAGGCTCTGCACTGTCTTGAAACAGGATCTGCTCCAGACTGTACATTGACACCCCCCTTCCAGATCGCTGATGGGTAGAAGACAGTCCTATATCGAATGCACAAGAGCAATACACAGTATACAGTGATTTAAACCTAGCATATTATGCAATGCAAGACATCTAATATGCAAAAAATGAAAGAGAACCCTCAAGATAACATGTGGTTTTATATTTGTCATATATTATATGTTTTTTTTCACTTTCAGCTTCAACTTATAGATTTAAGAACAGTTAATTATGAACTGGAAGGAAAATGCAAGAAGCAAGAAAGAGGTATATATATAAACTTGTTAAAATTGCTATGGCAGATCTTATATGCTCAGCAATAAATATATACTGGTCCTTTGGTCAAACCAGGTCAGGGATTGGTTTTATTTTTGTTTGAAGCTCTGTTAGCTGATTATAATTTTATCTAAAGTTTTCAAATTCCAATGTTTCTTATAATAATTGAAATTTAAAGTAAATGTGTGTGGAATTTAATGGATTGTCTAAAAAATAAAAAAAAAGCAGTCGAATGGTAAAATATTATATACATTACACGGTTAATGTTTTGATCCATTGATAATTGTTGAAATACATGTGTCAGGAGTTTTAATAGATGATTAGCTAATAATAAAAACATTGAGATTGCAACTTGTTAGGTCAAAAGCACTTAGGATAACTGGGTTCTGGTCTTTCCCCTCCTGATAGTTACTAGATAATCTGATGATATGTTACACAAATGTATATATACTCAGGCCAAAATGAAACTTCCGTCCGACATCAACGTTTTACTTTGAAACAAATTCTTCTGAAAAACTAAGAGGCCTAGGGTGATGGTATTTTGCCAGAAGCATGCTGGGATAAAGGACTACCAAGTTTGTTCAAATGGATGATCTTCGCCAATATTCGTGGTCACAGGTGTCAATTGTCATTAAAAAACTTTAAACGACTTAAGCTTATTCTGAATAGGATGATGATGTTTGGGTAGAAGTATGCTGGGATGAAGGAATATCAAGTTTGTTCACAGGGGTCAAATACGTTGAAATCTTTAAACAACTTCTTCTGAATAACCAAAACGTCCAGGGTGATTGTTTGTTTATGTGAATGACCTTGACGCGCTTTCACGGTAACATCTGGTCAATTGTGCATCAATCTTTAAAAGTCATCTTCTCACTAAACTAAAGGTATAGGGTGGTGATATTTGGCAGTTTGCATTCTGGGATGAAGGGCTATACAGTTTATTGAACTTAATGTCCATGTTTGACTTTCAAGGTCAAATGTGTTTCAGTCGTTTAATAGATTTTTTTGAATGACTTAAAGTCAAGACATTGATGTTGCAGTTGTGAGATTAATACCAGATGAGCGATGCAGGCCCATTGGGCCTCTTGTTTTTATATTTTATTTTCATGGATCAATATTATGCGTAGTATGAAATTTTACAATACCTTTCCACACATTACAGTAGCTATTAAGCTGTCAAGAATGGGGTCAGGCTCCCCAACAGAGAGAAAGTCCATAATAATGAGTAACTCTGAACTTTGCCTTGATGATCAATGTAGTTTGTTTACAAGTAGGTGATAAAATGTTCAAGGGTTGGCAGGAAAATCTAGGGTAGGTTGGGATACTCTAAACACACATAACTTTATATTTTGGCCTTAAAGGGTTGCTTTTTGACTTTCAAGTGTTTTGTTTTTGTCTCGCCACCACATACCTATACTACTGGTAGTAGCGGAAGCGAGACTTGGGTGTTGCTTTTCCGGGACACCTTTTCCGGTAATGGTGGTGTCAACATTAAGTTTTCGCGTTTATGTTAGTTTCTCTGAAAGTAATAAGTGCTACACCAACCAAACTTGCACCATAGATGCATCTTAGGTATTTCATCTCAACCCATGCATCAAATGCTGGATGCGGCCTACCTTTCATGGTTCATTGACTTTGTCAGCATCTCCATCAACATTAAGTTTTTTCATTTAAGTTTTTTTTAAAAATAAAAGTGCTAGACCAACCAAACTTGACATGTACATTGATGGTCAAAGCAAGGCACAGGTGAGACATATCAATCCAAATGGCTTGTTGTTGTACTAGTATCACATGTACTTGCCAAAATTGTACCAATATCGTGTATAAGAGATGAATGAAAAGACTACATGTTTATGAGGGATATGAATTTTACCCAGCCTCTGGTGAAGAACTTTTATATCTCCATACTTACATATGATATATCTTGTTGTGACAGATACTTTTTTATTATGTTCTTAATTTTAACAAATTTCTCTTGTTTCTAGAAATCTCAATAGGGGTTGAAAAAACAGACCAACTAGCAAAGGATTTACAGAAGGCAAATAAGGTATGTTATATGATCAGGATTAAATCCCATTTTGCATAAATCACATGAGCTTACCAATGAACACATTTCCCATAGCCATTAATGTTCATTGGGGTATTGATTATCATATAGCATTGTTTATGTGATGATATTCTGATGAATCTACTTTTGTTTTCAAAGTACATTATAAGTGAGTATAAATGTATTAGTAGATCTAGAGCTGGCTTTACTAACACAAGTTGCACTAACTTTGCATTTACTGTGAAAACAAAAGAAACGGGTATCTTTTGACTCTACTGTCTCATCGTCATTAGTGAAGTCAAAATGATTTGACTCCAAGGAAAACTAGACATAGAAGTTATAATTTCACCAAAGAGATAATTCAATCATACTTCTGGTCATAATAGATAATCCAAATAACTAATAACTTCATAATTTTGTTTCTCATAAATACACTTTAAATGTGGCTGTGACCCCTCAGAGTGTTTACTAAAAGATAGACTTAATCTCATTACTGTTAAAAGTTTGACACTGAGAAACCTCTGAATTATTTATATTGTATTATATGGATTATTTAGGGTATTTTAGGAAACATATTTGGCCCATCATTGGCAAAAAGAGGAATTTTTCAAATCTCAAAGAAGATAAATCTTAAAAAACTGCAAAGTGTACCCTTATGTTACCCATTGTGAAATGTTTTAAGCCTATCCTGGTGACAGCACAGTAGTGATATTCTGTGACACAGTTTCAACTATTTCTGAAATGTTGGTTGTTGCTTTTTAGCTCCTCTGGTCCAAAGGACCATGGTGAGCTTATGCCATACCCTAGCATCTATTCTCTGTCTTCCATCTGTCAACTTTTCCTTTAAAACGCTACTTATCCTGAAAGGCCCAGTAGATTTTGACTAAATTTGGTCTGGAGCATCCTTAGGCTAAGGCGACTCAATTTGGTATCTAGTGTGGGTGTGGCCTTCCTGGGGGCAGAGGGGCCCCAAAAGGGAAATAGAGGGAAAACCTTTAAAATCCTTCTTCTACCGTAGGGAGGGACTAAAGCGTCCTTGGGCAAAAGGGACTAAATTTTGTATAAACAGTGAGTGTTGCCCCCCCTGGGTGCAGAGGGGTGGGGCCCAATATGAGAAATCGATGTAAACCTTTAAAATCCTTCTTCTACCATAGGGATTAAGGGATTTCATCCCAATTTGGTCTTGAGCATCCTTGGGCAAGAGGGATTAAATTTTGTATAAACAGTGAGTGTTACCCCCCTGGGTGCAGAGAGACGGGGCCCAATATGAGAAATTGATGTAAACCTTTAAATCCTTCTTTTACCATAGGGATAAAGGGATTGCATCCCAATTTGGTCTTCAGCATCCTTGGACAAAAGGAACTAAGTTTTGTATTAACAGTGAGTGTGCCCAATAGCAGGGGAAACGTAGCAAATTCTTCAAATTTGTCATCGCTCTAGCTACTTCATTCCTCAACGGAATTTCATGAAACTTGATCCCAGTGTTGAGTATGACAATATCTTGAACATGTTTGTGCTTCAGGTTACTGTGTTAAAGGTCAAGGTCACTTACTATTTTTAGACAAAATTTGTCATCGCTCTATCAACTTCATTCCTGAACGGAATTTCATGACACTTCATACCAGTGTTGAGTATGGCAATGCCTTTAACAAATTGCGTTTTGGGTTGAAGGACAAGGTCACTGTCACTACTTTTTTATCATCGCTCTAGCGACTACATTTCCCTTTTACATATATCACAATGTGTGAATGGGAGGGGAGTTGTGTCACTTGTCATGCCTTGTTTTGTTTTAAAACTGTTCATTCCTGTTTAAACCCCCAAAAAACCTGCACCTCTGTTAAATTGGCACGAATGTTATATTAGAGTCAAGTGAAAATAAAAATTACCATTTGTCTTCCAGTTTGCAGAGATGCTTTTGGCTTTCCTAAAAGATCTGTTTAAAGTTTAAATATTTGGTTTAATTATTTATCATAGATCTGCAGGTGAGTGCTACCGGCCCATTGGGTCTCCTGTTGTCTTCGCTTCCTCTCATTATTTGTCAGTCATCAAGCTAAGTTCTATCAGTGTTATCACATTATTCACTACAGCTGTTGTTTCTATTTATAGGCTATACAGAAAAGCAAGAAAGCAAAGGTAGGTATAAATATATTATTTGATAAAATACAAGACAAGACAGTGGCTATATTGTCTGTCTATTTATAATGTGTGCCCTACTGGCCTGTAGATACAGAGTAGAACAATCTATTTCTGGAGAGTATTTTATCACATAATGTACTGTGTTATCCAGTGAATATACCCATGTCATATTTTTTTGCATATTGACCTTGTAATATGACCTATCATCCCTGTGATTGGTTAAAAGTTTCAATTGTTTCGATTGTGATAAAAAGGATCTTGCACTCGTTTCCATTTCATATGAAATTTATGAAACTCGTCATGAATTTTTCATTTTAGCTCGTCAGAGAGAGGCTCGCTAAATTGAAAAATTCTAAGACTTGTTTCATATATCTCATGAAATGGAAACTCTCTCTATATATAGTACATATGTGTGTTTGTCTGTGATTGTCAGGATGTGGAGATCCTCCTCCAGGAGAATGATACCCTACAGAGGAAGCTGGAGAGCCAGGAAGATGACTTCCGTCTACAGAATGAGACGCTCATGGCAGAGCTGACCACAGTAAGCATACACAGCCACAGACTTTTCTACGTCAAAATAACTGTTTTCATAATGACATTTTTTAAAAATATATTTAGTATATCCCTCATCTGTCTGAAATATTTTTCATAATCGCAAAAGTATCTAACCATCATAGAACTAGTCAGTTTCAAAAAAGAGAACGAAGTAATTAAATGGTCAAACAGCATTTATTTTGCAACAGAATGACCTTAATTAAGTCCATTTATTTGTATTTTGTCCAAAACTAAACCTCTGAAGCAATGAAAAGCATTTTATGTCAGTGTGTCATGTCCCTGTCCATACAATCAAGGTCAAGGTTGCAGAAAGGGTTAAGAGGTCAAAGCTTTCTACCTGGTAATAAAAATTCATAAGGTCATCATATCTACACTGTTGGAACATTGTTCAATGAAATAAGCATGGGTATTATGACAGTGTTGCATATTACTCACATGTCTATTACATCAAGGTTAAGGTCACTGCAAGGGGTCAAAGATCAAGTCACTGCAATGTTTGTCTCAACTTTTGAATCATTGAAACTTTTTGCAGAAATTTTGTCTACTTTTGTGTTTGGTGACTTATGGTTATATGGCATTCAACACAGTGTTTTAGTGAAACCAAATACAAGGGGACTGGATTCCTCAATGTTCAGTGTCACAGAAAAAGGAAGATAGTTGAATAAAGTTTTCAAGTGAAACACAATTTCTTTTTAAAACAGTGATGAAAATGTCATGGATTTTTCATCCCGAAGACAATCGTCTATTTCAGCTAGTGGCAGCTAATGAAGACCTAGAGAAGAAGGTGAAATCTGGTAGAGGACCAGATGTTGCTGACAGTTTAAATGCCTCTACAATCTCCGAAACTGATGATGAGATTCGTCACCTCAAGGCACAGAATGCTGCATTACAGAAAAATCTGACAGGTAAATAGCGTAACTATGGAGAAATGATCAGAGCGGACAGAATTTCTAAATATTTGGAAGTTTCTAGTGATTTAAAAAGCATTAAGTCTGTTTTTGAACAATTTCTGTATTTTTTTCTGTCAATTTGAAATCCAAGATGGCTTTAATGGCCGATAGATTGGCTGAGACATTTTCACCTTCTTTAAGATTTTACTCAGACTTAACACAATTGATCCTGCGCAGGTCCTAAACAAGTATTGTTTAGATTTTTTAGATGGCCAGGTGCACCATGGTCTTTGATTAGGGGAGACATTTATGACCATTCCTTAAGAAGAGTCAGTAAGATCTTGGACCGATTCCACACATAGAAGAAGGAAGAGGGTGACGGTTTTGCTAGAATTAGATCTCCTGTCAGTCTGTTCATAGACACAATCTTGTAAACACAAGAAAAAGTATCTCAATCAGTTTCCATCTGATTTCTTCTTTGAAACCTGGGAGATTTATCTACCATAATGTGAAGTTGTACTTGTACTGATACAATGAATATTTATAGAGTTATGGCCCCTTTTTACTTTGGACATTTTGAATTTTTGTTTTAATAAAAACAGTTAAAAACTAGCGAGAAGTTAGCCTTAATTGATTAATGATGCCACAGTTTTTAATCTCCTGGTAATGTAAATTTACAAGCAAACTACAGTTGTGATATTTTGATTTCTCTAGAATTTTCACTCCGATGTTGACTGATCCTCGGTTTATTTCTGTTCATTGTGTTATGTTTTATGAACAGCGTACAAAGAGAAGTATGAGAGACAAATGGCTTTACTGTCTCCCCCCAGTTCTCCTGAAAAATCGTCTGAGCAGTCGGATGCAGAAAGTCAACCCATGATCAGGTAAATATCATTGTAAATCTGTTTGTTTACCATAATTTATTGTGCATTGACCGTGGGCTAATTTTTTTTACTCTGAAAAATGCCCTCTGCGAGCTATCTGATGAAGCAGGGAATGTGATGAAATGTTTCCAGAAAACTATATAAAGTGTTGGCAGTGTGATAGCTGTCAAATCCAGAACTGTATGCAACTCCAATTATAAAAAAACACAACAAATTATATTCTCAAGATTCCCAACATTGAATGTGCTTATTAAAGTTGGTTCATATTACCAACACTATGATTATTGTATGTAGTGTACTAAGTAGGGTACTCAGAGTTGCCATGGCTGTTTACACTGAATAAAAATTGGCGCTATTGGTATGTCAAGGGTATATACAGTAAAACAACTGGTAAGTATATCTAAATAATATCCAGAAGGTACATTAGACTTTATGTAGCAGAAATAACCCCAGGCAATCTATCGGAGCGGGCAATCTGTAGATTATTTCCTAAACCTGATGTTTTGAGGTGTGTAGACAATAAAATGGAGCTAAATGAAATTATGGTACATGATAGGTCATCATTCATAGAAGACATATCAAGGTGCTGCAGTATGTGGTTCTCATTATTTTCTTTTTCTCATGAATGATATTTTAAGCATCATCAGATGGTTGGCTATTCAAATCCCCCTTTGTCTATGGTCCGTGGTGCGTCCGTCAATCATTCCATCCATCCTGAAAAATTCTTGTAAGCGCTTTAAATTCTCAGAAAGTACTGAAGGGATCGTTCTAAAATTTCACATGACAGTTCCCCATGGTCCCTAGTTACGCATATCAAATTTTAGGACTGAAGGGAAAATAAGATGGCTGACAGATGATTATCTTGAATTTGAGGTGGCCATCTTGTTACAGTTGAAGTTTGTTATCACTATTTCTCAGATTTGTAGAATCCCTTGGGTCCTAAATCGTGCATGTTCACTTTTGAGACTGATCTGAAAAACAAGATTGCTGTCTGAGCTGTCATAGAACTAATGAAGATGGTAAAGTGGTGGGTGCCAAGATCCCTCTGGGATCTCTTGTTTATTATGAACTTGAATCCATGGAAAAAAATTCGAGATCTAGAGACTAAATCTTTATAATCCTAACCCTGCATAATCTGGAAACCTGTGTTAATTGGATCTTTACAACATTTCTTTGTACGTGTATACATTAGTATGTAAATTAATTGAACCTGTTTAAAGGAATTATTGGTCTCTGTGATTGTCAGTTAAGAGAGTTTTACTGTAGTAATGATTGTCAGTTAAGAGAGTTTTACTGTAGTAATGATTGTCAGTTAAGAGAGTTTTACTGTAGTAATGATTGTCAGTTAAGAGAGTTTTACTGTAGTAATGATTGTCAGTTAAGAGAGTTTTACTGTAGTAATGATTGTCAGTTAAGAGAGTTTTACTGTAGTAATGATTGTCAGTTAAGAGAGTTTTACTGTAGTAACAGAAACAATGGCCCCCTATTGTGGTCACCTTGGAAGTTCGACTGGTTATACTGTAGTAGCTCTAGTTCCTTTATTTCCAGGGAGGATCCTAGTGAGGGAACTGTTCAGCAGGATGGAATGTCGCCTCAGAAGCCAGGTAAGCATGTGTTACGGTCCATTCAGGTCTCTTTCTATAATGTGTCACCCTGGGCTGATAGAACGCCCCATTCCCAGTCAGAAATAGACATTATTTTCCCCTATTGCTAGATTATTTTGGCAATCACAAGGGACAGGGGACTTTTTTTCAGACAATAAAAGTTTCCAGAAGGTATGCAGTACAGTAAAACCCGGTTATAATTAATTCCTTGGGGTAGAACATTTTCTTTCAATATAACTGGTCTCCAATGTAACCAATACACATTAACAGTGTTCCTTGCGTGAACTAGACTAGGAACTGTGATTTACTCTACCTGGCTTATCCTTCGGGGCCACTTACCGTGACCAGGTGAGCTACCGATCTAACAGATATTGCTTTAATGTAAAAAGTGGTCACGGGGAATGTTAACACCTTTCAATAATAGCAGTTTTTCAATGTAACCGATATTGAAACACAAAGAAAATATAGAAAACCATAAGGGGATTTTGTTTTCTTTCAAATTATGCGGTATGACAGTCGATGTATCTGAGTTCAATGTAAGTGGATTTGACTGTAATTAGGTCACTGTGACCTTCATCTCAAGGTCAAAGGTCAAACAAGTGAAACATTTTCTGCAAAATTTTGTCAGTGTCATTGAGCTGTTAAAGATGAAGCCTGTTGTTTATCTTCATCAGCCAAAGAAGTGCACAATATATTGTAATTAGGTCATGATTACCTTCACCTCCAGGTCAAAGGTCAAATGAGTGCAAAATTCAAAGTGAAATTTTGTCTGTGCTATATATCGTAAACTGATAAAGATGTTTTATGAAACTTCAACAATACTTGCATCATCCACAGAAGGTTTTCAATGCACTGTAGTTAGGTAATTCACCTCTAGATCCAAGGTCAAATAAGTACAAAGCAGATAATGCATATTGGTTGAAAAGGGGAGGCATACAAAGTCAACAACAAAAAATACATACATATATATAGGTTTATGGAATAGCCCTGATCTGAAGTATTTCCTTACCTGGCATGATTGAAAAATTGTGATAGTCTACATATTTTCCTTTTTTTATGCAAAGGTAATTTTAAGTAATGTAATTACTTGAGCTGAATGTTCAACACATATCTAGAGTCTCCAAGTCCATTCAGTAACAAGTTAATGCAGAAGTGAGACTTTTTAAACCTTGAGGTACATATACTATAAACAGCGATGAGAGTCTAAATCTCCAAATCACAGGTCTACTAGACAGTTGGTAAGAGTGTCTAAATTACTGCCCTATATTTCAAAAATGGGCAAGAAAATCACCAAAACTTTCACTTGAACAATTGGGAATGAAGGCCATTAAAAGTTGACCGGTATATGAGACTGAAGGAGAGTCTCAGAAATCGATCATACTTTGATGTGTAAGGGGGAATGTTTTTGGTACACTTACCTACAATGGTTGACTAGCCAGCTGTGTCATGTGATAGAATATGTTTTATCTATCAGCAGAGAACAAGCCTCCAGTGAACCATATGTCTGTGACAGGGGACCTCTCCAGTGAGATTAATGGTAAGTCATGACGTCTACAAAGTGACATGTCTGTGACAGAGGACCTCTCCAGTGAGATTAATGGTAAGTCAGTCTACAAAGTGACATGACTGTGACAGAGGACCTCTCCAGTGAGATTAATGGTAAGACAGTCTACAAAGTGACATGAATGAGACAGAGGACCTCTCCAGTGAGATTAATGGTAAGTCAGTCTACAAAGTTACATGAATGTGACAGAGGACCTCTCCAGTGAGATTAATGATAAGTCAGTCTACAAAGTGACATGAATGTGACAGAGGACCTCTCCAGTGAGATTAATGGTAAGTCAGTCTGCAAAGTCACATCAATTTTACTTCAACACTTAACATAAGAATATGCAATATAACTTCTTAAAGAAAACCCCCTGATATATTACCATGATTATTTAATTTGACAAAAAATACCTTTTTAGGATCAAAGAAAAACGTTTTTAACTAAGCTTGCAACATTGTATGGTGCTTTCCTTTTATATGTGAATGGTCTTCACTGACATCTGTCATGTGACCAAGGATGGTCAATATCATGTGACCTATACAGGATATCAGTGTTATGTGACATAACATCAGGTAAGTTGTCGGTAGGTCGTACCCATTAGGAAGGGTTTCTTTTCATCCTGAAAATGTATTTTCTTTCCCATATTTTCACTATGACAGGATCAGGGTATGTAGCAAGAAGTTGTACGATGCTTTACGAAGACGTTTTAGGCTTGTTCAAAAACGTGCAGTTCTGCCAGACCTTGCCCTTGGAAATTTGACATTTAAAAGGTGTAGGAATGAATCCTAGTTACTGTCAGTAGTGTCTCTCTAGGCCCCTCTGGTTAATTCTAGTTACCTGTCAGTAGTGTCTCTCTAGGCCCCTCTGGTTAATCCTAGTAACCTGTCGGTAGTGTCTCTCTAGGCCCTTCTGGTTTATGCTAGTTACCTGTCAGTAGTGTCTCTCTGGGCCCCTCTGGTTAATCCTAGTAACCTGTCAGTAGTGTCTCTCTAGGCCCCCCTGGTAAATCCTAGTTACCTGTCAGTAGTGTCTCTCTAGGCCCCTCTGGTTAATCCTAGTAACCTGTCGGTAGTGTCTCTCTAGGCCCTTCTGGTTTATCCTAGTTACCTGTCAGTAGTGTCTCTCTAGGCCCCTCTGGTAAATCCTAGTTACCTGTCAGTAGTGTCTCTCTAGGCCCCTCTGGTTAATCCTAGTTACCTGTCAGTAGTGTATCTCTAGGCCCCTCTGGTTAAACCTAGTTATCTGTCAGTAGTGTCTCTCTAGGCCCCTCTGGTTAATCCTAGTTATCTGCCAGTAGTGTCGGTCTAGGCCCCTCTGGTTAATCCTAGTTACCTGTCAGTAGTGTCTCTCTCGGCCCCTTTGGTTAACCTATAGTTATCTACCACTGGTGTCTCTCTAGGTCTGCCAGTAGTGTCTCTCTAGGCCCCTCTGGTTAATCCTAGTTATCTGTCAGTAGTGTCCGTCTAGGCCCCTCTGGTGAATCCTAGTTACCTGTCAGTAGTGTCTCTCTAGGCCCCTTTGGTTAACCTATAGTTATCTACCACTGGTGTCTCTCTAGGTCTGCCAGTAGTGTCTCTCTAGGCCCCTCTGGTTAATCCTAGTTATCTGCCAGTAGTGTCTCTAGGCCCCTCTGGTTTATCCTAGTTATCTGCCAGTAGTGTCTCTCTAGGCCCTTCTGGTTAATCCTAGTTATCTGCCAGTAGTGTCTCTCTAGGCCCCTCTGGTTAGCATGTTGTCAGATAAATGTCACCAGTGCGCTTATCATACTAGTTTGTCCATGTTTCAGTTAGAAAGCACTTATAAGTGGTCCTTTGATTGCACTGTCATTAGTAAACAATATTTATTTGTCTTATATTTTGAACATTCCTTTCATTTCTTGATCTTTTTTTCAGATTTGATGTTGAATTTAGATACAGAAATGGAAGAGAAGAGAATACTGAAAGATCAGTTGACAAATCTGGAGGTAAGTATGATATTACTTTTGAAGGTACATACATGTTAATTAGTAACTTGCACTATTTTCCTGTTCCTATCGATTTAGAATACTACTTTGTGCGGCTTTAGGATCTTCAATAAGTTTCTGTTTCATTATGTAATGTGTTGAGCTAGTCTAAACAAAAATTAATTAAGAATCCTTTTATCGCATTCAATAAAAAGAATTTGTGCTATTTTTTTTTTTTAAAAAGTGTCAAGTATATTTTTTACCATCATCTTGACTTAAAATTCATGTCAATGCGACATCATAATGTAATCTAGAAATCTACCACATCATGGCTATTGTTTTAATTATGACATCATATTGGGTAATGCTACATTTGAGTTAACATGAAATCATGATGTGGTAATATTCCCAGTAAGTAATCTAGCCATCTTCCTTCCCAGAAGATAATTGAGCCATCTTTGTTCTTAGTACAGCCACCTTCGTTCTAAGTGTATTTTTTGTTCACCTTTATAATTTGAGTAAAAGTATCTGTATTGTAAAATAAATGGATTGCATGGACAATTTTGTACAGAACAGGACCAATCTGTTCTCAGAATTGATGTAAATGTTTTTAGGTCACCAGAGCTTTGCTCAAGTGACCTATTCTAATCGCTTTTTGTCCGTCGTGCGTAAACTATTACATTTTCAACTTCTTCTCAAGAACCAGTGGATGGATTTTTTTCAAACTTGGTAAGAATCATCCTTGGTAGATGAGGCTTCAAAATTGTAAAATTGGGATTCCTACCCCAACCCCTGGGGCCAGGGCGGGGCCCCAAAGGGAAAATTAACCAATAATTCAAAAATCTTCTTCTTCAGACTCAGAGGTACTACACTCATTTTCTCTGCGTGGAAAGAAAGATCATCAGGGGCTTTACTTAAATTGTAAATTTCAGG